CCTTGCACATCTTCAACCCTGTTTGGCTTTTATTTATAAACATTCAGACAAATGAGGTATTAAGACTGCAAAAACATAAAGGATCACAGTTCATTATACCTCATTTCCTTTCATGTTTTTCATTGACTTTCTCAAAGAATGGAACCGCTTCAATCAACACTTAAAAAATAGCCCTCTGGTTCTAAAAGTATTTCAAATTAATTATATTCTCCAAAGAATTTTTACCAAGCAATGAAAGTTTAAACTCAGCTGAATCAATCCAGCCTGGACCCATTTTAGGGTATAGTCTTTATATACTGGTCTTATGAATATCAAGGAGTTTATTATGCATGTATAAAAGGTAAGTGGACTATACTAACAAAACCAAAACATAAAGTAATGATCTATAGCTCAGAATCCTGCAAGGAGGATGTTTACTACCTCATGTTATAATTATAAGCCCTCCTATTCATTTGAATTAATTAGTAGAAGCAGCAGTGTTGTAGAGTTAAATACAATAGAAATCCCAGTCTTTGGTCTTTGACATTTAAATAACTAATGAACTGCAGTATAAAACAATATGAATAACAGCATTCAATGAGGTCATTCATTAGTTTATGATTGTTTTAAAGAAATAAAAATACAATATTTTACTTTGTGATAATGATATTTTGTAATATTTGTTGCTATAATATACACTACTACATAGAGAAAATAATTTCTCCAAGTATCTTTAAATATGGTCACATGAGCAGTGATAATTAGACCAAAGCTACTGGAAGAATAAGGTTATAAGACCTTACTCATATGAAACTCAAACGTGAATTTGGCTTTGATGGTGGTATAGAAAATTTGGCCATTAAATATCTTCAACTATTTTAATAATTTAATATTATGATACACTATCTGTTATAAAATATAGCACTTAAATGCATTAAACACTCTCCAGCCTTCTATCAATTGCTGCCTCATATGGAGGTACCATGTTTGCAATGACACAATTCATTAGGAGTTTTATTGTATCAAATGCCAGTTTTATAAAATGAGGCACTGTCCAATGGAGAAATTCAGATGGCAGAATATGCAGGAAGTTTGAATGGTATAGCATCTTATAAAAAGTCAGCAACTGACCTTTGTGATCAAATTACCTTTTCTTCAGAAGACCAGAGCTTTTTAGTTTGATGGTGATACATAGTAACAATGATCAACAGAGTATTAATATTTGGTAAATATTTCTATTAATTTCCTAAATAGTTCTTTTTAATAAGACCCAAATATATCCTTTTCTTTTTTAAATGTCAACCATATTCCTGAAGCCTGTCAGTGACCTATTATTTATGAAGGGGACATTAATGTTCACATGGTAAGAACAAGAAAGAATATAGAAAAAAGGAGTAAGGAGCAGGATGCTAGAAAGATTTGCATTTCAACATTTAAACAAGAAACATGTTAAGGTATAGGGAGATCAGTAATGCTAGTCCAGACTAAGCTACTGAACTCAAGATAGCTGAGTCTCTTCTTAAGTGAATCAGTGAAATTTTAGAGATGAAAGTAACCGAAGGAAACTCCTCGTTTGCTGTACCCCTCTCACAGGTAAGTAAACTGTGGTCAAGATAAAGAAGTACATTTCTTAAGGTCAAATAGGTAGGCGCAGAACTAGAAATGAAACTCCAGGATCCATTTTCAGAGATTTGGGGTCCTGAAATCTAAGATTTCCTGATTAATATCAAAGTTATCTTGAACCCTTCAGTAAATAACTATGTACTAAACTAGAGATCTTGTGGTTCCTAATAAAATAAGGAAAAAAAAAAAAAAGGACCAAGAAATACCAGGTAGAAATTTTGGAGATGTTGAATGAAAGAAACAGGAAATTTGGAAGTATATTTTCTTGAGAGTGTCTCACTTAAGTATTCTAAAAGAATTAAGGGATAATTACTTCTCTCCTTTGACTCCCAGAAACAGAACTCAAATACTTTCAGTTTATTCATTCCTAGCTAAAAATGTAAATGCTAGGAATATGGTCAATCCCTTTCCTTCCTTTTGTCCTTCCTGTCTGTGGGTTTGCCTGACTTTCTCCTTTTTCCCCTTCCTGCCTTCTCCAGCTGAACTGCATACAAAGTTTAAGGTCCATGTATTACACCTGAAAGGAATTATTTCTTTTAAGTTAAATTAGGAAAGATGAAATTTGCATCTGAGTAAACTGCACGGTATTTATATAGGTTGTAACAGAAAAATACTACTGGAGAAACAGATGATGAATCTGTTTCGTAGTCTACAATTAGGGGAACTCTGTATCAGGAGAGAACCGAGCCTTCGTTTATGAGGAAATGAAGGACTTTTAGGAGCAATCCTCCATGCCTTCAACAGAGGCTCCAATTCCGAGGCTGAATCTATACTTAGATTCTAAGGAATCTAAAATAGCCAGCCAAGTAATTTAAACCAACTGCCCAGTGTTGGATAGCAAAGCCACTTGTTTCACTATTTTTTTCTACTAAATCAAAGATATTTTTACATCATGTAGACATAGTCTAAATCTCTTAACATATGTCTTCCATATTATGTCTGTAATATTTCAGAACATATTTGAAATCAAAATTGACAGCCTCTCACCAGAATTGGATTTTATACTGTTTGTCTCCTTACTCTCTCTCCACTTTTCTCCTCTTACGATGTATAATTTAAAATTTAGTGGACCCTTCCCACTGCCTATAATATTTGCTCTTGGAATTAGAACATGTTAGAGTTGGAAGGATTCTCAAGAGATCAGTTGACTCTATACTTTTGTTGTATAGTTGAGTAAACTGGAGTCTGGAGATATTCCCAGACTGCCTAAACCAGCTTGTTGATTAGAAGACAGAGCGGAGATTAGAAACGGTGCTAATTACTAATCAAAAGAATTGTTCCTGTTTGACTAAAAAAAACTTTCTAATTGTTTTAATTTAGGGATGTTTAGAACTTGACTAGGTCTCAGATTAATACACAGTGTTTTCCTAAAAGGCCCGTAACACAGTGATTAGCACCCATAATTTCTCAAAATTTCTTGTGTTATACTTTGTGTACTTTGCTTAAACCAATGTGAGAATTTCTCATATTCAATTCTAATGTTCCAACTTAAATAAATTGAACACTTATGTTGTGATATGTTTTAAGCAATTGCATATCTCAATTCTTACTCCAATAGTGATTTAAGTTTTCTATAATAACCCCCAAACACAAGTCAAGTTCTATTTTAAAAGTTATAAAACTGCACTAGCTTTCTGACTTTTTGGTGAGTGAAGAATGCATTTTAGTAAAACAGAGCTTTTTCAAGCATTCAGTGTGTTAGGTTATCCAAACAAGATAATTCTGGCCATGGTTCACTTTGTTCCTTGCATTATCTAATTTTCCTACTTTCGACAAATTACTCCAACAAGTTCCCATCTCCCACTTCGCTCTATGCTGTAGAGGCCTGAATTTCAAAGGTTCTATGCTCATGGGCCCCCAAAATGAAGCTTCCATACACCTGCAACAGTGTACATGGGGGAAAGTAAGCTTGACTGCCATGTGAAAATTAAGGACTTACCTTAGAGTAATCAAGTCATCTTCCCATAATAGGAAATACTTAATACAATTTTACATTCTTGGATTCTGTAAGTTTTAAGAATTCAAGTTAAGGAGTGTTGTGATAAACGAAGCTACATTATTCTGGAGTTATTTATTAGTGCTAGTTTACAAAAATAAGCAGTGGAGAATGGAAGGAGCTATGATTTCTGATGCCAGGGTAGCTGGGTAGCTTAACAGTCTAATCAAGGTAACTAAGTATTAAGAGCTGAAAGGAAATATGACCAAATTCCTGAAAATAGGAATCTAATGGAGCAAACACATTTTCAACATGTTTGTTAACATTTATGTTTTTTAGTCTGTAAGCAGGGATTTGTAATTTACTTTCTACCGTCCTTAAATCTTAACCTTCAGTAAAAAAAAAATACATAGATATAATTCTGAAGAGTATATTCCAATGGAAAGTGAATCCATTCTCGGCATAATGCATCACATTAGTAATTTATTTATTTAGTGGATATGTTTGAATTTTAGCAGTCAGAGTCAAATATAAAGTGAATGGAGCAAACAAAAAGTTGTACTATGAGAACCTCATGGAAACGATAGCATGTGAATTAAAAAAAAAAAAATCTATGGATTCTACACCAACAGTATGCCCCTCTTCATACTATCTTATATTGCAATAAATTAGATGTTTCGTTAAAAGCAAATACGTCACATGCAAAAGCCAAGTAAATACTATATAAGGCCATTCAGATCTGACAAATGACAGGATAATGGCATTTTGTTAATTCTGTAAAGATTATATTGCTGAGTGCTTTCAAAATTACCTAACGTACAAAAGTCTAGACTTAGTAGACAAAGAGTAACAACACATTGAATTCAAAGAAACCAATAAAACTCAGGGTGGGATTCTGTCTTGTTTTGTTTCGTTTTGTTAAAAATCATGTATTGAATTTAATTTTTAGTAAAGCAAGCATTATCTAATGCTTGAAAATTTTAAAATTCGGGGATAAAAGTTTACATCCAAAAAGATGATTGGAAAATTGTGCTTTCAGACTGTAGAATTAGTTTTCTGACAGGGTTAACCATCTCATCTTGCCATTGGATACTGGGAATTTCATCTATGTGATTAATGTATGAATGTGCAGTTCATATCCGGTCCTGCAAAAATCTAAAACTGTGTGCTTCACTTCATGTAGCAAAGGCACCTATGTTTTTCTCCCTTCTGAGCAAAAGTTATGATCCAGTTTTCCCGCTGAAGGTGATTTTTCCACTGTCCCGTCACCCACACTCTCTGCGTTGAGCAGTACAGTAAATCACGAGAGAAGGTGGCAGCGAACCCCTGCGTGCATTGGAAGAAGTTGCTCTGTGGACCATTTGAAGAAGCTCTGGACTGATCACAAGGGAAACCGAGCGGAACTGTGAAGCAGACGGACAGGAACAAAAGGCTATTCTGGTGTGAGGAGAAATCAGTCACTTCAGCTCCACAAGCAGATGTTGCTACTGGACTGACAAGTGGAGCTTACTCCCGCTGGAGAAAGGTACAGTTTGCCATTGGGGCAGACACACAGTTCGTACAGGGTCTGCCGGGAACTTGAGGAGCTGGGTGAAGACGATGAGAAAGAGCCGGTCGGTAGATTCCCCAGCCGGATTTTATCTGCATTCAAAAATATCTAGGGGAAAAGAAAGTGCATTTTAATGCATTTTAGCATTCGACATTCCTCCGAGCTTTACAACATGGTCTAATAAGAAAGACTAAACAATTCTATTGGTTTAGCTGCCATGCTTTGTTGAACAAACAAATTACATTCCTACGCTGCAGCCCAGAAGCCTGGCAGCTATCTTCTCTTTCGAGACATGGTGCATTCTGACAGAAAGCCCTCGATCTGAAAAGCAATATTGCACAATCTGCTTAAGGGGCCAATCCACTTATTCAAACACCACAGAAAATTAATGAGTTTGAGAGTCTCTCCATTTAACTTCTTAATCATGCCTCCTCTAAAGAGTATACAAAGAAATCAGGATGCTCATGGAGAGGACATTCCTGAAGGGATGGGCCACTTACAAAAAGAAAGTTACTCAATGACCTAATTTTTAAAAACAGTCATAAAATCATGTTGACAGTCTAAAGGATACATACACCATGTAGATAATTTGCACCATTAACAACAATTATTAGCTATAATCAGGTCTGAAGTCTCTGTGAAACGTATTACTTGTACGCTACACTTACTTTGCTAGATTTTCTAATTTGCAAAATTACTTCACTTATTCCAAACATGGACTTAACACTTTCAGGGACGGTGATCATATGGTTCCGACATGCAAGAGAACTGACATGCAAGAGAAAAGTTTCAAAGAAAGAAAAACTGAATCATGAATCTGAATGAACAAAGAAACAACTTTCTCTAGCTATTTCTTCATTCTATTGTTATGTAGCTAATTACTGCCTAACTTGACAGGAGAATCCGAGATTACTCCATTTTTTCTACATATTTGCCCTTATCCAAGTCCTATTCGTTTCTCACTGGGACTCCTACCTTAGCTCCCGGACTAGTCCACCAGCTGCCCTTCTTGTCCTCTTATAGCCTGTTTTATATACTGCTTAGTGAATTTCTAAGAAACACAGATCAGATCAGATCACCCCAGTGCTCAAAATTCCCTGACAGCCAGCCTCCCACCACACTTACAATGAATCTGGATTCCTTCCCATGGCCCACAAGCCCTCCATGATCTCTCTAACATCATTTCCTAGCATTCTTCTCCTTGCTCCAGCATTTTCTCAAAGATATCTGAAGAACTCTGGCCTCTGGGTTTTTTCACTTCCTATTTCTTTAGCCTGAAATACTTTTTTTCTCTAGACATTTACAAGTGGGTGGTTAGAAAACAAGGGTAGGAGGGAGATCTCTTTTTGCCCTTTCTATATTTGTTATTATTTTTAACAGTAAACTCCTTTATTTTTTTTTTTTAATTTTGAAACACAGGAATCTATTGAATGCTGCAGATAAGAGATAAAAATAATGCGTATGCCATACACATGTATGTTTTAGATTAATTTAGATGTTTCAGATCCCTGCAAAAAGGTCACCTTCTAAAAAAGAGTTTTCTTAACCACTCTATGAAAATAACACTAATCCATTAGTCTCTCTTTGATGGCTTTATTTTTCTCTATAGTACCAATCCTTTCCTAACATTGTATTAAGTATGTATTTCTTCATTTATTGTTTGTTTCTCCCCCTTGCAAGTAAGACCTACAGCTATCTTTGGGTCACAGAACAGTGCATAAAATTGTACAAGTGCATGTTGCGTGAAACAATGTTCTTCCTTCACCACGGACATGTCTCTCCCCTCTAGGGCACAAATGTCCCCCTCCAGCAGAGCCCAGTTCACCCACTTCACCCTCCAGGAGTTTTCCCAGATGTTCCAAGATGGAAAGACTCTTCTTATTGGTTCTCCCACAGAAACTTATTATTATTATCTTATCTTGCTCATCATTTGATGTTATTTTACAGTCCTATTTATATCTTCCTTTCTCAAGTAAATTATATCTTCCTTGAAGGTGGAATCATACTGAAATATTTTTTATAACTTCACAGTGTTTAACCCTGCAAATACAGCTTCCTCATAATGCAAATGGTTGTTGAATACATGAATAGATTATAAAGTAAATGGATGATTGAATTTATCAACAATATTCAAAGTTACGAAAGTGTGATTAAAATTTTGTTTGTACGTGTCAAATGTTAAAATTTATCACTCCATAATTACTTCTGGGTTAAGTGACAGGAAAGCAAAGGGAAAGAAAGTGCTTCTGTTCTTATTTTTTAAGGAGACTTATTTTTTAGGAATAGGAAATTTTCAATAGGAAAATTGAAAGCGCACAAAAGTAAGCAAAAGGAAATGATGACATATTTTGGGGTGTAGAGGCTGGGTGTCATTTCTCCTGGCTCTGTATCTCCTTGTTGAGGGACGTCAGTGAGAGTAACACCAATCATTACACACTCTGGGCTCTTACACTTCTCCATAGGAACAGAGGGATGAATAACTTCTCTACTGGTTGAGTTTAAGAGAGGAACTCTCGGGGCACCTGGGTGGCTCAGTCAGTTAAGCGTCTGCCTTTGGCTCAGGTCATGATCCCAGGGTCCTGGGATGGAGAGCTCTGCATCGGCCTCCCTGCTCAGCGGGAAGCCCGCTTCTCTCTCTCCCCCACCCCTGCTCATGTTCTATCTCTTGTGAATGGATAAAATTAAAAAAAAAAAAAAGAGAGAGCAAGAGAGAGAGAGGGACTCTCTCACAGCTCACCCACTGTCCCTCACTTCTTTTTTGTTTGTTTTTATAGATTCTATTTATTTGAGAGAGACAGAGAGAGGAGGAGCAGGGTGGAGGGGCAGAAGCAGAGGGACAAGCAGATTCCCTACTAAGCAGGGAGACTCTTGGCAGGGCTCTATCCCAGGTCCCTGAGATCATGACCTGAGCCAAAGTGGCTTAACTGCCTGAGCCACCCAGGCGCCCCCCTCACTTCTTTTTAGGAGCTAGCATGTTTGCAGAGAGCAGAAATCCCAGACTTCATAAATGCCAAAAATATTATGGGGCAAGCTCTGGGACAGTGGGCTTTAGGTCTGCATGTTTGGAGATGCGTTCATGCTGAGGAAATATCAGGAGCTGGTGTTTTGTCCAAGAAACCTTGAGACATAGACGATAAAGTGTGCAAATGGTAAGTGGCGAGGACGCTCACGTGGGATGAATCAAATGAATGTAGGCTACTGGGAATGGTTCACTTAACTAGGCAGCCCAGCAATGACTGTTACTGGTTAGCCCAGGGGCTTTGGAGCGGCTTGCTGACACAATGCCACCCCAGCGGCTTTTATAGTTATGCAGCTGGTCCTCTCTGCATGTGGGTAGCTCTCATGAAGAGCTGAGGAGAGGGGCAGGTTTTGTACAGGCAAGGCGAGCAGGTGGCTCGTGTGTAAAGCAAGCTCAGCTGTGGGAGCCTCATCAACAGAATTATCCTTGAAGGACTTGGGCCTTATTTGAAGCAGGTGTGGGGCCCCAGCATCGCCCTCCAGCTCTGCTCTCCACTCTGGGGCTACTCACGACAACACGTAGCTATAGGACAGTACTTAATTCCGTAAGCTTCCAAGATACATACCATACACTCAGCCGTATAAGGGAAGCATATTTTATTAATAACATTTAAATGAATGGGGCCTTTAAAAAGAAAAGGATGTTTTCTTGGCTTGAGATAGAAAAATAAATCATGAGGTAAAAAGAGGTGTTGCATATTGATTCTTTCCAGCATGGCTTTGCCAGGTTTCTGCAGCATAGACGTGAGACATTCGGGGACCTTGGGAACAAGACCTTGTGCACCTGGAAAATCTCCTGCCTGCTGGCCATCATCGCTTTTCTTGCGGAGCAAAGTACCAGCTAAGAAGCAAGCCCAGTCCAGGGCAAACCAGTCTGCACCAAGACGGACCCCAGTACTGCACTTTCACGGACTTTTCCCCTCATTATAATACTAAAAATCATGCCCAGGGGTGGAGAGTTAGCATGTTCATTAGACACACCACGCATGAAGAAGCAAGACCATTAACTGCTAGTAAATCCCCACCTCTACCTGCTTCATGTCACCCTTTTCCCACCTAAGTTCCTTTAAAGTATTCCATCTGACCTCTCCTTGGAGAGTCAGCCTGAGGATTCTTTCCTTTGTGCTGCCCCCTGGTGCTGGGGCATAAGCCCCAAGAAAGCCTTGCCTGTGCTTTTCCATTTGGGGTCCAGCCTCGTCTCTACCATTGCTGGGTCCAAGGACCCGAGTCTGGTAAGTGATAGGCTTGCTCATATCTCTTTCTGTTCTGCTAAGAGTTACTGTGATACTGTTCACCTTCCAAATTCTAAAAGTGATATTTCTATTCTATATTGCCCTATAACCCATAGAATCGGTTTGTTCTGAAACTCTTCCTGGTACTCCGAATCACACGCCTGAGCATTTAAGTCACGGCCCACTGTCTTCTCTGCACCAAGAATTCATTTATGCCTTTCTTACCCTTTGAAATCAGGCCTATCACTGTGATAGCAAATCTCAAGGGATTTGCAAAATAAAAATTGTTTTCCTCTTTTTCTGTGATCTTGTAACATACATGTTACTGCATTATTGCCTCTCGTGCTATTATAACACTTTTTTTTTCCCAAGTTCCATCTATATTATGATTCGGGTTGTCTTTAGAGCCGTGTTTGAAATTCCTTGCAACATTATGTCTGAAATGACAATCTTCATCAGTGCAGAATTTTGCGTGTAATTTCATTCTTATGCATTTTGTCTGTTACTTTGTTACCTCAATACCATGTTTGTTCTGATTCTAACTACTTTAAAAACAGTCTAAGGGAGGGACTTTACATCTTTCAATTTTGTTTAGTAAATGATCAGTATGCCTTTTCTGTGGCAAAGTTAGTGAAGCCAAGAGAAAGATTTCATATCATTTCACACTTTTTCCTAGGAAAATTACGTGTTATTTTATTCTATTATAAAGTGCTGTGCTTTTCTGTGTCTTTGTGTTATTAATATAAAAAAATGACCACAGCTGAAAATCTCTGGCTATGATTTATTTATAGCATAATATTCAATTCACAATTAAATGCTAACCTGTAATTGAATCCAAGCATTCTGCTGATACACTGAATAAAAGAACATAAGTGGTGCATAAATAGGAACAGAACAGAGATTAATAACCACCAATATTTATTATGAGATGATTCATTATGAATAATTTGAATGAAATGATTAGCACGATAAAAGCAACTCTTTAAAAAGGATGCAAGATATTTAAGAAAGATTTCCATCTTGCTGTGGTAGACAAAGTATTGTATTCTGTAATTGTAGCAGAAAGAAATCTTGAAAGGTAATATGGATAACCTTTTAAAATATTATGAAGTGTAGTTCTATATCATTTAAGTTGTAATATCCATTAAGATGTTAATATAGTCCTACCAGTAAGTTTGTTTATAAAAAAGAAGCAAAATATCCAATTAAAATTCATCCTGAGTCAACAACTGAAATAATGACATAAAGGTAAGGAAGGAACGTCCTCCTTCAATTCTATTGATTTCTGCTTTCATCTTTACATCTGAAGAGGAATAAAATGTTCCAGAGCATCTTTCTCAAGTTATTCTTCCATTCTTTATCTTCTCAACTTGACCTTCATAAGCTCATAATAAAATAAGCATGAGAAGGAAGAAAATACTAAGGGACTTAATTGGTAGAAACAGGAACACAATGGATTTAGACTTTCAAGGACTTCGGGAATTGTAGCAAAAATATACACAATATATACTGTGTATAAGGATTTGAAATAATTAAAATAGAATTAAAAACAAGCATGCAAAAAAACGACTACCAAGATGTCCAGGCAGATTTGAAAAAAATAACAAATGAGAATCCTAAAAATGAACAACATAATTATTAAAATTATTTTATTTTTTTGGAGATTTTATTTGAGAGGAGAGAGAGAGAGCATGAGTGGGGGTCGGGGGTGGGCAGAGGGAGAGGGACAAGCAGACTCCCCGCTGAGCAGGGAGGCAGGGGATACTCCTAATTATTAAAATTAAATGCTCAATGGAGGCATTTAATAAGTGATTAGAGACCAAAAAGGAACCTGGGCATATAGATCTGAGTAACTAAACAGAGTGAGGCACAGAGAAATGGAAACTCAGGAGGAGAGGCTAAGAGATCTGGAGGGTAAGGGAATGGAAGAAACACTATGTGTTTCTTTTTTTTTTTTTTTAATTTTATTTTATTATGTTAGTCACCATACAATACATCATTAGTTTTTGATGTAGTGTTCCACGATTCATTGTTTTCGTGTAACACCCAGTGCTCCATGCAGTATGTGCCCTCTTTAATACCCATCACCAGGCTAGTCCATCCCCCCACTCCCTCCCCTCTAAAACCCTCAGTTTGTTTCTCAGAGTCCATAGTCTCTCAGGATTCATGTCTCCCTCCGATTTCCCCCCCTACATTTATTTCTTCTGAGTTTCTGAAAAGGGCCATAGAGGAAATGGGGAGCGGTAATAGGAAAAGAAGCAATGCTGAGAAATTTCCAGAACTGACAAAATTGTCATTCTGCTGGCACACCAATCACAATGTATGTAACAAGGTACATGGAATGAATGTGTGCCTAGGGCATTCCAGTGCCAGCCTGGCAGACGGAAGACAAAGGGTTCTTTACAGCAGTGAGGGAAAGGGAATCATCTTTAAAGGAAGGACAGCAGACTGACAGGAGATTCTTGGAGGAAATAAAGTAACATGGGAGAAAAATGTTAGCATGTATCTATCTCCTTATCTAGGGAATAACAATTGGGCTAAATAGTAAAATAACTTTTGTTTCATTTTTCTTTTAGAAGAATATAGGAACCATTTCTACAGAAATAAACAAACATCCAAAGTACTTTTTGGAAGAATGTTTTGGAAGACCAAAAAAGAAAAAAAAAAAGAAGACTGCCTTCATTCTTGATATTATCTTGATATCCATTTTGTTTATCTGCCAATTCTGAAACTACAGGAATTTAGATGTCCCACTTATAATTGACTTATGAATGGGTATCTTTCTGTAGAAAAGAAATGGTGCTTTGTTTTAAGAAAATAATATCAGATTTACCAAATTTCATATTCAGGAAGTATTATATTTCCATAATTTAAGCTCTCTCATGAATCAGTCACCTGGAGCAATATGAATATAATTTGAGAAGCACCCTCAGCAGTAAAGGGCCAGTCTCTACCCCTGGGAACTCACCTCCCCTTCTGTAGACTGCAGATGGAGCTCCTTCCTGCAGGTGGCCTTGAAGTCTCCTGCAGCAGCACTCACCTGGACCCCTCGAGGAGCTTCCATTATCAAGGACCTTGTGGGTGATTCAAGCCTAAGAGCAAAACAAAAGACTCCTTCATAGTAAAAAGAAAAACAAATTATGATGGACTAAAGGATAACATTAGTAACTAAAACAAACGAACAGGTAGGCATAAATAAAAATCCTTTCCTTTTCAGAAGAAGCCAAAATGAGTGTTAGAATCATTTTTGATTGCCTTATCTATTTTTTGGCTCTTTATGAAACTCTTCATTTGCTAACATCAATTATTTATTCTCATTTGTTTAATGATTTGATAAGAGTTTCTTATGCTGTTTCCTTTCACAATGCACATGAAAAGTAGGTCGTGATAAGTTTACTTGTTTAAATCTTTTATATATTTTCAAAATGAATGATGGAGTTTTAATAAATACATTTGTACCAACTTAGCATGTAACTATCCCTCAATAAAGAGTCTTGCAAAGAGAGAGGTTTAATGAAAATCATTAATATTGTGAACTTTCAAGCATTCCACAGTCAAAATTTTGTAGACCTGAAAATTTTCAAACTACTCATTACACTTTTAGAAATTAATTAAGATGCAGGAAGAAGCCCTTTCCTACATCTTCCTACAGGAAGAGCTGACCTCTACTGGCCCAGGAAAACGTCCACAGAATGAATGACATTAGCCTGAGAGAGAGCAAGTAAATGAGGGGTGATACACCAACTCAAGTATGATTAAAGATTGACTGCATAAATTATGATGGAAAAAAAAAAAACACAACTGTTTTAGATAGTTGTGCCTGCAGAAAAGCTAGTTGGGAGGCAGTTTCAAAATTATCTTTAATTATAAAACTAGAGGAAAGGGCAAAAGAAGGCGGAACATGGAAGCTAGAATACAGTGGTAAAAACCACTTTATTCACTCTGTATTTCATGTATTTTTCACTAAAGCTTTAAGTCTGCTAAATTACTCCTGAAAGATTCAATCTAAAGAGAAATTTTGTGATGTATAGTTTATTTAAAAGAGTGATTCATTTCTTTGAATAAAATTAGTTGTAAAACAAAACAAAACAAAACAAAAAAACCACACAAGTGTGAGCAGAGGGACTATCCCCAAGTTGGTCTTTTTGGATAAACACTCTGTTCTGGGGCAGCGATTGTGTGTGGTTCTCTTGCCCACACAACTTTAAGACAAGAGTCCCCTCAGGCTCACATCTCACATTCACCATCATCCATAGCAACTGGTTTCCTGTGAGGCAACAGATCCAGAGCTGTTTTGCAGGGAAAACTACATCAAATAGTTTGAACTCTGAAGATCATCTCTCTCTCAGTAGTGAAGTTGAACTTAAAGACTTTAAAGTGATATTGAAGGAGTAGAGCTAGCATTTAGAAGAAGTAAATTCGACATTTTCAATTTTTTTTTTTTCACCCACCAAAGCAACTTTGAAACTTTCATCTCTATGGGCCTCTTGAGACATCTTTATAAAATCCCTGGAGGGGTCAGGTTTTGAATATATATACATTTTTTTAAAGAAATGTTTGTATTTTTTTTAGAAAAATAAAAATCATGTTTCACACAGCATTTAAAAACTTGAAAATAAGATAATTATATTTTTTTACTCATAATCCTCACACTTTGCACATAGAATCTACATTTCTATTAAACTGTGTATCTTATAATTGATTTCTCCTAATACATCCCCAAATATATGCCATCTTGAGTAGTATATCTGTGACCACTACTATTTTCATTGGTTAATTATCTGTAACATTAAATGTAATTATATAAGTTTGGATATGATGAACCATTCAAACAGAAGTCAGGTATGTAATTAAAATGAATTACTATTCTAAAACAGATTATGAATCTGACATTCAAGCAAACATAACTCAGCGAACTTGTAAGTGGCAGAAAAAGAACCCTTACTTTATCAAATAATTGATATGGTTTAGTTTGTTTCCAGGGATAAGGGTTGAGGTTCTTACTCACATATTTGATAGTAAGTTATCCATATTAAATGTGCTCATGTTTTTGTATCATATTTCTACTGTGTTTGACACTTGGTACTAGAGCAGTAAAATATGGTAAGTCTTTATGGGCTTTTGAGTTTTTCCATTCTCATCTTTATTAATTACTTAATCAAAAAATGTTTATTATATTCATCTTCATTTTAGACCTCAGGTATCCATCGCCAGCATAGCCATAGACTATTCAAAGAGGCGATGAAGACTGAGAGATGGTTCAAGAACGTTAGCCAGCAGCAGTAAGACTCAATTTCAACATCTCTAAACTGAAAATTATCATATTTTCTTATGGGGCCATAAGATATGTCTTAGGAGAATTAAGGGAGATAAATGTGTAGTGGGGTAGTATTTTGAGATACTGATGGCATTTCCTTCCCTGTCCCATTTCCTTGCAGTTCTACCATTCACTAAACCATGTATTTTGCCACAAGCAGCAGAAGATGGAGCAGAGAAGTTGATAAAGAACTCTTAAGTTTCCTAATCTAATAGACATTTTGAGTTGGAGAAAACCTAGCCGTTTAGTGTGTTGAAAATGATTCAGCACATGGAAAAAAACATCAGAAGAAAACCAAAGTCAGTGAGAGCTTGTTGTATATTTCCACCTGCTGGAGAACTGTTTTCTTGATTCACAGGATAGAGAAGATCTGGGTGGGAAATCAACAGAACTGGTTTCCAATTGTTCTCTGTGTTCGGCTACCTCAGGCGAAGTCCTACGATGTGGGGCCTTTATTCTTTAGGTGTGAGAGGTCTGAGGAGAGTAATGATATCTCAGGATGACTGAGGACAAGAGATCAAAGATTCTCAAAGGAGACAGGGGTGGTGACCTTCGGTGAAGGAAGAGTAAGTGGAGAGAAGAATGAGAACCTCTTGGCAAATTCTAGCTTGGGTCATGAGGCTCTCAATGACCAAATGTCACCCCAAAAGCTTTGGCACAGTGTAAACCCCTTGGTACAGTGATGCAACCCCAGGGAAAAAGAAGAGAACTGAATAGACAGGCTGAATTCCTGATACCAGGGCATTGGAGACCGAACATGTATATACATATATACATATATACTTAATAATTTATATAATTTATATGTATGTGAAACTGATCAGAGTACATAAAAACATTCAAAAAGTGGTAGCAATTTTATAGTATTGCTAAATCCTTCAAGTTATGAAGCGATTAAGACTAAATTAAACAGGTTTCAACTGTATGCTTTGTTAATCTTGATAAAACTAAGTGTGGTAATCATTAAGATATAATATAAACCTTATTTCCGCAACTATATGGTCAATTAATTTTCAACAAAGCAGGAAAGACTATTCAATGGGGAAAAGACAGTCTCTTCAACTCATTCTGTACTTAAAATTTTTCATGGGTTATCTCATAATCATCCCATCAATACTGAGAAATGCATACTCTATCCACATTTTACTTAGGAAGTAGTTGAATCTTAGTGTGGTTGAGTCATTTGCTTAGGATTAGGTAACTAATGCAAAGATCTCAGAATATCCAAAACCACCTTAAAAAAGAACAATATTGTACTATATGTTGGCTAATGGAGCATAATAAATAAATAAATGCGAAGGCATTCCAGGCAGTCAAAAAACAAAACAAAACAAAACCTTTAAGCATTTTGAGCACTTCAAGCAAAGCTATAATAATGAAGACAGTTGCTGGCCTGGCATAAGAATAACAAATACTTCAATGGAATAACACAGAGACTCTAGAAATAGACTTTAACAAGTAACCGTCATCTGATTTTTGACAAAGGCAGTAAAGTGATCCAATGAGAAAAAGCAAAGTAAAAACAGTGCTGGAATCTCTATATGGACAAAATGAACTTCAATCTATACCACCCACTGTTATCAAGAGTAAAAGCTAAAACATAAGACTTTTATTTTTTAAATTATTTTTTTAAAGATTTATTTATTTTAGAGAGAGAGAGAACGCGAGCATGCGCGTGCAAGTGTGGGGAGGGGCAGAAGGACAGAATCCTCCAGCTGACTCCCTGCTGAGCTCGGAGTCCAACCCAGGGCTCAATCTCAGGACCCTGAGATTATGACCTGAGCCCAAACCAAGAGTCAGTTGCTTAACCAGGCATCCTCTAAAACCACCCAGGCATCTCTAAAACATAAGATTTTAAAGGAAAATATCTTTATGACTTGGGAGTAGGCAAAACTTTCTTAGACCACAAAAAGGAATAACAAGTAAGTATTTTAAAACATAAATTATATGTCTTCAAGATGAAAAGCTGCTTTTCAAAATCCATCAGTAAAATGAATATATACATAGACTGGGAGACAATATCCACAAAATACAGATGTTACAAAGGACTGGTGCCAGGATATGTAAATAATCCTCCAGCTCAAAGATAAAAATACAAAAACACAATTAAAATATGGACAAAAGAGTTGAACAAATACTTCACTAAACAATATATATGGTTGTTCCATATACACATGAAAAAGTCATTAATGTCACTATTCATCAAGTAATGGCAAATTAAAGACATGGAATACCACTAAACATCCACCAGAACGGCTCAGATTAATAAGAATGCTAACACTGAATATTGGGGAAGATGTGCAGCTACTGAAATTCTCATTTATTTTTAGCAGAAAATGATATAATCACTTTGGAAAGCTCTGACATTTTCATATAAAACTTAATACATGCCAGTTATATCCCAAGTGTCTATCAATTAGGGAAATGCATAAATAAAATATATGTTCACATAATGGAATAGTAACAAGCAGTAAAGCAGAAAGAACAATGAAAGAACTACTGATACAGACAACAACACAGATGGATCTCAAAAACATCATGTGGAGTGAAAGAAATCTTGCAAAGAAGAGTACATATTGTAGATTAATTTATATTTAGTACTAGATTAATCTAATCTAATCCAGGGTGAAAAAGATGAGAGAAAATATTGCTTCTGGTGGGTAGTGGTGGGGATTTCCTGGGAAGGGCATAAGAGAACTCTCTGGGTGAAGATAATGTGTTTTTTTTTTTAAGATTTTTATTTATTTATTTATTTGAGAAAGAGAGAGAGAGAGC